CACAATATATTTTCATTTATTTCAAGGAATCTGCTTTCCATTCAGATGTTATTAAATAACCAATAACTTTCACACTTCAGAGAATTAAATCCTTCAAGCCTCTTACAACTGTGCTGATCTGACCAGTTTYATTACTGATATCATTTTGGTGCTGTTTTAAAAAATGGCTTTCATTGTGAAGTTGCAATATACCTTCATTAACAAGAGTTTTCCAGAAATGTTACATTCCAGAAATGTTCATTTTTCTAGAAATACGAAAACATACAATAATATGTTTTCATACTGTAACATCTATCCAAGCTAAACAGTAAGTATCACTTAACAACAGCGATTCTGAATCACTCTTTTAACAAAAATCAGCAACATCAAATTAGGGAAAAACAAGAGTTAATCAAAATCAAACCAATAGTTTATTATAACCCCTTACAAACAGCCACCACAGGGAATCCTTAGTGCTGTCCTGCAACATGGTTCAGACCTGGAGCTGGGATGTGGACACCAACTCGTGCTGTCCTGCAACATGGTCCAGGACAGACCTGGTGCAGGGATGCGGACACTTGGTCACTAGTTTTCGTATCTCAGAAAGTAAGGCAAAATAAATCATCATCTCTTGCATATTTTGCTACTTGGTCAAAAGGCACACCTAAGATTTCGCTTCAGTAACAAATTCAACCCAAGAGTGCACAGGAATTCACATAGTTTTGGCATTTTCCAACGTCAGCACTTTCAATCTAACACCAAATCCAGCTATTCACCTACACAGAACCCCGTTCACTTTTGTCTAAATTTAACTATGCTTAAGAACCAACAGGAGATTATGAAGCAACTCTCCAAATGAAAACCACCAGCAAGGAAACAAGGCTGGACAAGGACCTCTCCTTCCACCTCTCATCTGCTTCTCCTTCCCTCCTTTACGTTGCTTTTTCCCTTAGGGATTGTTCTTTCTCCATGAAAGAAGCAGCAGGAGGTTGGAATCAAGCTCAGCCACACTTCTCGGTGGCTCAATCGTTTGCTGTTCTCACCTTTCACTGGTATTTCGTTGTTGAGTTACCACYGAGACAAACGGGATTTAGGTGCTTCAGCACTAGGTACCTTGAGGATCACTGACATCCAAAGCTTCTGCTTACTCAGAAATGCACAGGGCAACCCAACATGGGCTAGGTGGCTAAGATGGTCTGATGACAGCTCGTTTTCTCTGCTGGAAAAGATTACTAAGGGCCTACTGAGTAATTAAAGAAAGCAGGATTCACTGAATACTCCACTGACACAAATATCTACAGGGCATATACTCATATACTAAAAGACCTGAGGACAGTTGAAGCCACGGATGTGCTCTCCTCTCTCTTTCTGCCTTACCTCCAGGAAGTATGAGGACAGAGGAGTAACAAAATCAATTTACTAATAAATACTCACATATTTTCCCCTGATTTTCAGGGTAACTATCTGATTGTAGTTACCTGTGTCCTTTCTCAGGCCCCTCTGCTGTTCTGCCCAGTTGTCATCATTCCTATCATGTCAAACTTAACTTGGATCAACGGGAGAAAAGCAAGCATTGAACTAAAACCTGAATATTCACGTTTTAAGCAAAACAAAACAACTCCTTAGGTAAAAAAAACAGGCAGACCAAGGGAGGCATTTTCACCTACATTCAACCTCAAGATCAATTTTCAGCACCCTGGCCTAAAGCTAATGTCCTCTGCAGGACGCAGCGAAAGATGTTGATTAAATTCACCAGGGAGAACCCAGTTCGTGATGAAATTAAAGCTCAGCTATTGAGACAAGATTAYGTGTGTGCACTAGCTGAAAAAGCTATTTTCATTTTCACTAAAAATGATGGCAGCACCAGAGATCAATGATGTTTTTTTGCTGTCTCCAGTATCCTAAATGAAATTGCATAGACTTAATTGATCCTGCAGTTTCAGCTTGGAATTTGAAAGCATCCAATGTAATTTGTACAGAACAAATCCAAGCAGGATTACAGTTATTTTGCCATTCCACCAAACCCACAGTTCTTCCAACCTGGGCTTCTTTTCAAGTCCAAAAACACTTAGTCAGAGCAGACAGAACAAARCTACTGCATAGATGCGGAAAATTTGCACCAAACCAGCATTTAGGCCTTTAGTTAGGTATTTTCTTTTTGTGCATACAGCAGACATCACTCCTTCAACACAAGAGAAAAAATGACACATTTCCATGACAAAAAACGCTATGCAAGTTGTTAAYAGATTCTGTTGCCAGAAAATGGAATACTTTGTCTGCATGCAACTTCTGAAGTCAAAATGGGAGATTTACTTTCCTTGTAATCACTTAAGGAGGAAATATCTGTCTCCCTGCACTGCTGATAGAGGACAAGGATCTCCCTTTGCTTCACGATCCCCTTTGCTTCTGTGACTGCAGCATGGGGATTTTGCAGCTGCAAGTCCTGCCTCCTGCGACAGCTGATTTACACCAGCCAAAGACCCACAGTCGTCCTCCCCTTTACTCTGTGTGATTTTGTGCACCCGCTTGCATGAGACACACACAGCCCCATGGAGGCTCTGTCYGCCTCCTCAGAGGTCTGGGGAAAAAAAAAGGAGTTGGAAATAGTAAAGGAGAAAGGAGACTGCAGTGATTTCCAAAAGGACAAGAGAAATGAGGACAAAGGAGCAAAAATATTAGTGGGAAAGCAGGACAGGGAAGAAAGCAAGAAAGGAGTGTAAAACAGGCAAGATTACAGAAAGAACAGGTTTAGGGAGTGAACTCTGAAGCTCATTTTCTCCCTGAAAATGTAGCAGGGGAGACAGCCAACGATTTTCATGAATCAAGTCGGTTCTTTAATATGCAATACTGCAATACTCTCTACATAATCTTTATAATCATCATACAGAAAGGTAAAACTCAGCCATCTCAGCAATTCATTTTCACAACCTGCAGTCTTTAATGGAAGACCCATGCTAACCACAAAACCAGAATTTATTGTAAGATATTACACTGACATTTCCAAAAATAAATTAACGAGCATTATTTATTATCTCAGCAGGAATTCTGGCACCAGTGCTTCAGAATCAGCACTAGCTGCTTATCGATAATGTTTCAGGACCTGGTTCCTTTGGACTGAAGCCCTTTTGCAGTGACCCCTTCCCCCTGCAGTCTCAGCATGGACCTGTGCAGAAGATGCACAGAGGAGCTGACCTTTGAGGATGGATCTCAGCACTTTGGGATTTGCCTGCTGCATTGGTCCAACACAGCCAGAATTTAACCTTCCAAATGTGCTGCAGATATTGTATTCGAAAGAACATGTCTTCTTTTTCTTGGAGAGGGTGGGGAGGAGGCTGATCATATATTTTATGGTACAAGCAGAGAAATCCCTATTCATATTAGCAAAGTAACTGCATTAACTTGGCTGCATTATAAACAGAAATTATCCACTTTATTGAAATGTACTTTTCATTAAAGTGTACTATAGCTGGAGAAAGCATTTAATATGCATGAAGTGCTAAGACTCAAAAACATTTTCTAACTTTGCTTTCACAGACAACTCTATGAAAACCCCACCTTCCAAAGAGAAATTTTCATTACTCACTGTCTTCCAGTGTTTCTTGTTGGAAAACTCACTSAAAATCCCTTAAGACTCACTGAAATCCCTCAGTGTAAGTTTTAACAGACAAAAATCTCTTCCTATCAGCTATATCTTTATTTATATGTACACACATACATCCCTCCACACACACAGACTCACTGACTTTCAAGATCATAAATCCTTCAATCCTTCTAAGGATTTATATTCAGCTTTATAGAACATGAGTAGCTTTGTGTCAGCAGCGAAGCCACRCACTTGAATCAACTACAGATATTTTGGTAGACACAGGAAAGCTTTTTTTTTTTAAATTAAAGATTCTTCTGCCCAGTTTGAGCATATGCAGCAAAATAACTTCTGTTCTGTTTCCATGTTTCCCACCACCTCAAATCAGAGTACCTTCAGGGCTACTCCTCTCTCCAAGTCTCTCAAAGCTCTCAACACTACTGTGAAGTCCCTTCCATATTTCCTGTGGTCCTACTAGACAGACCCCTTCAGGTCACTCTAACACCCCTGCTAGCAAGACAAGGAGCACCATGGGTTGTGGCTTTTGCTTGACTAGTTACTATAAGGCAGAGTGGTCAGCAAACCATAATTAAAGCTGGGATTTCCCCATCTTTCCCTCTGCAGACATACTAACAGGATATTAGTATAATGGGGTATTTCTCTTCTGTATTGCAATTTTCTGTGAAACTGAGAACTTAACCATTCTACAGCAGAAATTTCTTGGGGAAGCTGTGAAAGGTTCAAATTCGGAGAAAAGAGGTGCATCATATTAAAGAGAGAAAAATCATTCTAACGCGGTAAATACAGARGATGACAAAAAGACAAATGGAAGAAGCTTAAGAAATGGGCAGACTTGACCAGATGGAACRAGGTCAGATATCCATGACAAAAGGAGGACAACTATCTATGAAAAGAAGGACAACTATCTATAAGATTTCTATCAGTGCATTTGTCCTGGCTTCTCCTCAACACATTTATTAAAAGTACKTTTTTTGCTTTTTTGCAAACAATTTTGAATCTTCACAGACCAGAAGAAGTTKGTATCAGAAAGCTAGAGCAGAACTCTGTTTTCTGACACTCTTTCAGGTCACTTATCAATAACGTGCATACAACTGGCAATGGAATGGCATGAACATTAATATAGTAAACTAACATATTACAGCCTTTCCACCTTCTGTGTCACCTAAGCAACTGAGGAATTACATACTAATTAGACACCCAAATTATGTACCATCAAGTCTCCAGTTTCTAGATCATTGCTGCTTACGTAGTGTACAAGCTAGTGCCTGTAGGAACCCATACCCACACAGTTTACCAATAGSTTTCTGCTGATTTATGTCAGAAAAAGGATCTTATCACAATGACTTGTAAATTATATCCTTAAGAGAACTTCAGATTTCTGTTCCTTCACAAATACAACAATGAGAAAAAAACTTACGTTCAACCTGATCAAACATTACTGAAAACAAGAAATCTCTTGGTGTCATGTAATGTTCTCCTTCATATTCCAACGACGCAAAATGCATGAAGCGATGCTTCCGAAGAGACAGCCTTTCTGCCATTTCCTCATTAGCAGCATCTTCCTTCTGAAAGAGATAGAAAAAAAATATATAAAATGGCTGGATTTGTAGACTAATTTTGTAATTAGAAAGAATTCGATACCTGGTCGTGATTAACCTTGGTATTTTTGGGATACCCGTAACGAGAATCTATCAGAAATTAAAACTTTAACAAACAGCCCAGTCCTAAGGAAAGAAATGCTTATGTGACATGGCTAACATAGAAAACTAAACTGACCATAGAGCAAAAAGTACTCTGCTAGGTTAATGAAAGGCTCAGAAAAGGTTTAAGTGAGCACTACATCTGTGCAAACAGATGGAGTAACTGTCTAATTATGGAAGAACTTTTAAGATGGGAGAATCTTCCAGATTATCTTCCAGAACGTTCCAGAACTTTTAAGATGGTATTGGCCTAGATACCTAACATAGGTATGTCAGGTATATATAGGTATATATATTAGAGGAGGAAAAAACATAGAAAAAAACAGAAAGAGCAACATTAACACCATGATGGGAGACAGTACCCTAAATCCCAAAGATTCAGTGTTTCAAGGAAACAAAAAGCTTTCAAAAAAGCCTCCAAATCCTACCAAATACTGAGATCACGATCAAAGACTTAGCGGCTAACAATATGGCCGAAGAACAGGAACAATATTTAATGACAAAAGGGGGAGGCACAGAGTGAAACTAAGATTTTGACTATTCAGGATTTCAAGAATAGCAATTGAGAACAGGAGAGTGAYAAACTATAAAATTTTGAATATACTGTAAGTAAGTGAATATAAATCACTAAACAACTTTACCACCAGCAGCATCACTAACCAGGTTTAAAATGAATCATATTTTAGGACTGCTAAAAGGTGTGAGAAAGGGATAGAAAAGCAAGGAGATGTTAAATGAGCCTGAGCACAGCRGCTCCAGCTTGAGCAGAGCTGCTAGGAGCGGGCCCAGCAAAACCCATCTCTGCTAGATGAGGGCCCCGGCTTTGGCAACAACCAGCCTGCTTGCCCCGACCACAAGGCACGGCCTACGAAGCCCTGTGAGAAGTCGGCCACCAAACTCCTACTGTCTGCCTGTGCAGTCTGCAGTTCCCCGACCGTTTCCACGCCCCGTGTGACATTCGGACATTTCTCTAGGATGTTGCCGTTGGCTGTGTGTGGTAAAAGGGGGTCGCTCCTGAGCGGGCCGCGTCTCGTCAAGGACCGGGGCAGGCAGGGCCTGGCTCCACGTCCAGCCCCGCTGACCAGCCGCGGGTGCACGGACAGTCTCACCTCCTTCTCATAAAGGATTCTCATACACACGATTTTTTTTCCCTAAAGCAAATTTAAAAATGGAAAATTGCTTTGCAGTTATGCTGTGGCTGAAATTATGTAAAGTGCAACCATAAAAAAGTTCATGAGGAAACAGAGTTAATCCTACTGTACCTTCGTGATAACTGGATTTTCAAGTTTCTAATATCTTGCAGAATTTGTCTGAATTCTGTCTAAGGCAAAACCTTATTACTGACACGCACTGGATTTCAGCAATTCCTAATTTTAATGATAGGTACTGTCATTTAATGCACCCAATGACAGGTATAGGATCACACATTAACTCCAAACAGTCCCTTCCATCTGGAACATACTGTCCTCACAACAACAATGTGTGAGCACAGCTTCCCTGAGCCCCCTTTCCTCTGAYGAAGCCAGCACCTCATATTTGCAAAACTGCCTTGGAAGAAGTGTCATTTCTCATGAACATCAGCTTCAAAGGCCAGCACCAACTGCAGAAGCCAACCTGACCCAATGAGTTGTGAGATGTGTGAGATGTGCCAACTCCTGCTATTTATTATTTTTAGTTTCTGCAAAATGCTCGAAGTCCTGCCCGAACTGTAGCATCTGTGAAAAGTGGTCTAGACTCCCTGGATAACATTAAGAGCTCAGCTATGGCTGTACTGGAGTTAAATCACTCCCATTTAACTGCTTGTACTTCTGAACAGTGTACGGTCCTCACACTGTAACTTTATGGTGCTCCAGTGATAGCAGGGCAACTAACACCAGTGACAAAGCTAATTTCCCTTCTTTATAATGGCAGGTAACTTCATTCCACTTCTTAGTTTGGTTACCGTGATAGCTTTTTCAGCATATTAAAGTAATTACAAACTTGGACTGATACCAATATCTACTCAAATAACCATAAAAAGCCCAGCAAAGGCAACGGTGCCAACTCTGCTTGAGAACATCAGGAAAAAAAGGCTACACAACAATCAGGAGACTGACAGCACTGAAATAGCATAAAATGAAAGCAAAATGTTTGCAGGTATCTAATATCTCAAGATTTTCTTCCCTTTAGGGAAGGTCTGGGAGGAAAAACATGTAAAGACAAAAAAAGCATATCAAAAGAATTTGAAGAATTCTGAATTTTATCCTTGGCTGAAATTTCCCCAAACGTCTTTGCATTGTGTACAAAGACTCAGTATTTTTGCTCTGAAAGCTCATTTCAAGATCTTTGCCACTACAGATCACCTGGCAGGCTCAGGGAACGGGGCATTTTCAGGATGGAGCAGACACGTTCAGAGGGACCTGCCAGCAAGGAGGACTGAGGGGCTACACAGCAGAGCAGGGCAGGAAGGCAGGGGACAASGGGCACAAACTGCAGCTAACGTGGCTCCTACTCTGGATAAAATAAAACTCTTTCATTCAGAATACAAAGTGTTGAGACACACGCTGATTTTTACCCTCCATAGGGATGGCAACAGCGTGTTGCTAGCACATTTGTGGTCAAAGCCACAAATAACAGGTCATAATGACATAATATCTTGTAATTACCATCATTCCCACTATGTTTTCCACAAGCCAAACCAAGACTCTTCAAACTGGCATAAAATGGTTTTGGCATCCAACAATATTACAGCTTTTTTTGTCTCGGTGTCGTGAAAGACTTAAATGCTTCTGCACACAGTGAGGGAAGAAGTTGCAGAGGGAACGTAGGAATCGTAACCTCTCCAGGACAGCAAGCCCTTCACCCTCAAGTTCTCTTAAGGATTTAGCTAAATTTTGGCTTCCGAAATTATTCACAACCAAGTTGTACTGACAAAAAAAAAAAAAAAAAAAAAAAAAAAAAAAAAAAAGACTTCCTGAGTGTACCCCATGTAATTTATAATTTGAGAAAATAATACATTTTTTCTGCAGTTTTAATTAAATAGAGTGCAACTGGATGTCTGCCTCTTAAAATTCCGGCTACTTAGTGCTGATTAAATTTTAGCAGACTTACACTAATCAGGCATTGATGATACAAGCACTGAAATACACTGAAATTGGTGCAGTCGTGGACCAAACAGCAGAATGTTGCAACAAATTTATAGTCCAACTCCCCATGGTTTTGTGAAAGGAAAAGGAAACATTGCTTGGGATGCAATCACTAAGTCCTGACAAACTGCTCAAAGGTCTTTTTTTCCCCCCCAGCTAATAGAAGCCAAGTTGATTTAAGTAAAACAACAGAAAGGAAACTCACAAAGCGAATACTCTCATCCCCCAGATTTTATCTGCTGCCATTCTGCTGTAATCTTTTTTGTTTCAAAATCCTGTCATTCTATATGAAATCAACTATTTTCTACAACAGAACACCATTCTTAAACAATAGAAATATTTAAATAATCCCACATTAAAGTCAATAATATCAGTAAAACACAACCATGTATAAATGGCAATGTTTATGCCTGTACATAACTTCCACTACTGTTTCATTCTTACTGAAGCACCAAAACATTAGTTCTTTAATTTCTTTTCAACTGCAAATGCTTATTCAGTGTTTCTGTAGGGTCAAAGTGTTTCTCTTGGTGGCACTCTGCTTAATAAAATGACTTCCTCAATCTCTTCYAAACACATTCATCTGATCAAGTGGCAGACCAAATACTACATTATGGTCAACTCAATTATTTGCGTTCAGTCGTGTTGGCTGCAGATTACTGACACCACAGATGGAGAATTAACTCAAGTTTCTGCTTTGATGTTGGATTTGAACTAAGAAGTCCTGTTAGATTGAAGRCCATGGCATCCAGTGGCAATCAGGCTTTCTTTCCTGTGTCTTCAACCCAAAGAGTTGGGGAGTATAGTACGGACACGCTGCAGTGACCCTCAGGGAATCAGCACAAGGCCAGCGGGCTTGTTCGTACCGGCTGACATGGATTCAACGTGACTCCATGAGCATCCACCACTTTGCTCTGAGATGACTTATTTCACCGAGCATGGCAACATGTAAAACCACAGTTAGCTCAAGTCCAGTGCTCTGCTGGAGCTCTTAAGCTCTCTCACTGAAGGRCAGAAACACTGAACACAGAGATGCTTGCATGACCCTTCATTAGCTACCTGAAGTCGCAAATGATGAGAGGAAGAGCTGGGTACAGCTGCTTCACCACCACAGCACTGAAGGACCTGGCAGTGCTGCTGTCATGTCAAATCCAAGTGTTTTTCACGTGTTCACATAAATCTGCACCTGGTGGAATCAACATGCAATTTGGGGAGCGTGACACAGACATTTGGGCTTTACTGGAGATCAGGGAGGACATGCAGTGAACCCAGAGCTAGCTGGTGGCATCAGAAAGGAGCTACATCCTTGAGACAACACTGGCAGCCATCTCTGCTACCAGAGATGGTATTTACCAGCCCCTATGGCCATGAATAACAGTAAGTTGACTCGGCATAACAAAGTCACAAACAATTCCAGCAAAATAAATGAATAATGTCCTAAAAACAGGCCTGCACAGTGAAAAACAGAAGAGAAACAGTCTTGACCAATGCTATCACTTCGCCTTTCTGGAGCCACATGGAGTTGCTTAATGCATTTGGTTATAAACTTAAGTTACAGTGGGAACCACCAGTTGTTTGTTTAGTCTGACTTTAACAACTTATTCCTTGTGATTTTGTCATTCAACATAGTGCCAATATTTAAACTTTGAGTGACAGCTTACTCATATTCTGCTCATCATACTGCTCTATTTAGCCAAACTGCCAATTACTACCCTCAGACCACCTCATTTCTTCTGCATTTTGGCACAT